CTTCAAGCATCACCCAAGTGTTCTTGACTTGGAAACTCCTTTTCTCCATCATCCCTCCTAACAGATCACTCAAGGTTAATATCTTTCAAAACTGTTTAATATGCAATTAGATCAGGTTCATACCTTTAAAATGACTACTTGCACATCTCCATACGAGTTTTCTACAATTTCTGGCGATTTTTACAAAACTGTCTATCACTGTAGCAACGAATTCGGACGAGTCAGTGAATATGAACGTTTTCACACCAGTTAGACACTTCTAAAAATCATAATAAAAATTATGAACAAACTAGACACAATTTCTAAACCCTCAGAATTTACGGAATCAGTTTTCGACTCCGTATGATTTTTCTATAATTATTCCAAGAACAGGAACAGAAAAGATAAAACTAGCAAATTGTCAGTAACTCATTTACACCTTGTAACTTGCTGAGCAATGCGTGTATTATAATATATAAGTACATGTTGGTTATATTACATGTCTTTTACCTCATTATAAAGGTTTACATCATATACAAAGAGGATTTCTGCCATCACAAAATGTTTTGATAAGCTATAATAGGTATAGTTTATGATTCCATTAGCACAACAAACACAATTCGAAAGGTTTTATTCCCACAGAAAAAGGTTTTACACACACACACACACCACACGTAAACTTGTTAACGTAAATTGTGAGACATTCCTCTTAGTACTCCTAGAGTACGGGTTAAAATTCCTGGTAGTTATAACCAGAGTCTCTTGTAGGGAGAACGTGATAGTTGTGTATAGATCTATATTGGGTTTGACAAACCACACTTAAGGTGCATGCAACAGCTAGACCGGCAGGTCTGGGGTGACAAGTGTCATTATCTTTTTCGACGCCTGAGAAACGTCGTGGCAGGTTCATTAGTCATAGTATGGTTATAGCGACTCACATAGGGAGTTAACAGCACATAAAGTTTACGGGGATTTTTATCAAATCAAAAAGGGTTTTATGTCAATTTAAAATCACTTTTTATATCAATAAGTATGGATAGTACTACTGTACACTTTCGGTCTTGAAATTAAAGACAACACATCACTTTTGTAAGGAAAATATTGGATTTTTCTTGGTATCACACAATTCATAACAAAGATCGGTTTCCAAACTCTTCATCTAAAAAGCTTATGAACTCACCAACTTAATTGTTGACACTTTTTCAAAACAACGTGTATTCTCAGGGAATCAGCGAAGCCAGGTAATCACAAGCTTTTGAGGATGGAACGCTACGGCGTTGAACAACTATTTTTATATCATGTTGTAATCAATCATTGAAATATGTAACACTTGAAACCATGTAATTCTTTTCCTTTATATTTATGATTGGTTGTATTGCTTTGATCACTGTTATACACATTGTTATGATACTATACATGAAGTCCGCCACCCCCGGACATTTCCGCCATCCTTGGTTTGGGGGTGTGACAATCACTCTATCCAATTTCTTCAGAATGCCATTCCTACCCTTAGGAGATTTAGACCAAGTGAATTGAAGCCCAGAACAATTAATATCCTCAACTTCAATCACATTGATGCAATCCAAGAAATCAGCAACCCCTTCTGGAATTTTAGAAGAGCTCATAGAGCACTCAGAAAGCTTCATAGCAACATTAAAATCACCCAATAAAGCCCAAGCTTTATTATCAACAACCACTCTATGTTTTCTAAATTCTTCCATAGCACTCTTCTGTCAATGTATTGGGACGCAGCATAGACAAAAGAAATAAAAAGCTCACAATTATTTTCTAGAAATCTCACAAAACAGTGCATAACCTGATCCGACTGACTCAGCATCATCACATCAAAAAGATTCGAGTCACATCCAACAATAATTCTCGCACCAGTGCAACAATCAGAAGAATTCGACACCCACTTCCAGTTACCAAAAACTCTAGAACAGATACTGGACAAATTCCAATCCTTCACATGCGACTCCAACACAGCACATAAACCCAAGTTTATTACCCTTAATCACCTCAATCACCTCATTTTGTTTAATTTTTTTATTTAACCCCCTAATATTCCAAGCACCTATATTCATCATTAAACAATAATAGGATTATTTGCATTAACCTCCTCTAATGCCTGAGATACAACCCCATCCTCTTTATTCACATCCTTACTATTCAACTCCGAATTCAGGTTCACAGAACCCAACTTCCCCTGCCCAGAGATCACTGCATCCTCTTCCATTTTTTCACCAAAATCTTCCACAATCGAACCTAAGACATCAAATCGATTATTAGATATACTCTTTTTAACAACTCCCTTCTTCACAACAATTCCATCCTTTAATTTCTCCTTATTATCCATAGTATTTTTATCCGATATAGTCATTCCAGTTTTTCCCTTCACAGAAACATTTAGAATTAAGCTCTCATTCACCAAGCTAGTAGAAGCTTCAAACGCTTTATTCTTCTCCTTATTCCAGTGACTTACACTCCTATTCACCCAATTCCTATTCTGCCCTTGACCATTACCACCTTGAAATCCACCTCTCCCCCTGTTGTTATTACCATTTCTACCATTCCCATTTCTTGCCCCATTAAACTGATTATAATTATTGTGTACCCTATCTTTTACTCCATTACTCCCCACCACATTACCTCCATTTCCTCTTTTTTTAGAAACTTCAACAAACCCCTCTTCATCCATAACTGTTTTACCTTTTATCTCCCTATTATTATCAATCTTTTCACCTTCCTTAGTCACAAGATCAACTTTCATAGTTGCAGCATATACCTTATCCTCATGCCCAAAAACTTTACAATGAGAGCACCTAGAAGGGTTCCAAGCATACTCCACAGTAAAAGATTGAGTAACAGCCTTTTCTGTAAGAAAATCCCGAGTACAAATATCAATGCTATTCTTCCAAACAGCATCAGCAGACATTTCAATCAACATTCTAGCATACGCATTTCGTCCCTTATGATTCAAACACATCTCCTCAGTAAATGAATCAAATGCTAGAGGAATACCCAACTTACTAGCAATAATGCAGAGATTTTCCCCACTCCAAACTTCCAACGGAAGGTCAAAAATCTTAACTCAAACTGGAATCTTATCATGACTATTTTTTGTTAGGGTAAGCCGGGGCCTCCATCTTTGAAGAAATAAAGGAATTTTATCAAACAAAATCCACTGACTACCATCCAAAATGTTCTGCAAAGCAACTTCATCACTAAACTTAAAGAAAAAGAATCCTTTACTATTCATAAACATGTCTTCCAGCCCACAATTCCTCCACATTCTCTTTAACTCTTTTTGGACAGCAGGAAATGAAATACGCTTGTCTAACAAATATCCATACAGAGTATTGGAAAAACTTGCCTTCTTCAGATTCTGTATAGGAATAATCACCGGACCATCAGCATTTCCATCAACTTGAGGCATAAATTTCACATCAATTTTCCCTCTATGGACCTTCCCTTTTAACACCCCTGCATATGACTGCATTTTCGAATCAATCCCCAACTCTACCTGTTCCATAGCAGAACCAACCTTCCCATCAGCAACACCTTTATTGTTCTTCCTTCCATCTCCCAATATAGAAGGCTCTAAATTAATCCTATTAATAACTGTGCCAGCCTTCAAAAAGTCTAAAGAATCTAAATTCTCCTTCCCATTTCCTTTACCATCATCAATCATATCTTCCTCATCACTAGATACATTCTCAGATTCCACAATCACACTCTCACTTTCATTCCAAATAGCTTGGTTATTCAAATAAGAAAGATCATCTTCAATAACTACATTCGAATCCACTTGCATCATATTCTGCTTAGCATTATTATTTTTCAAGTCATTAAGAAAAACTAAATCCTATCCCAGGAACAAATTCATCACTCGACTTCATATTATCATTCAAAATTCTAACATTACCCTTTCCAGCCTCCTCGCCCCTAGATTCCATAGTATTTCCACTACCAGAATCAGAATTCACATATTTAGAATCAGCCACAACAGTAATAGTAGGATTAGCCAACATCATTTGATTCGTAGCTAGATTTAATTCCGAATTAGGACTTAAGACAACCTCATCAGACTTAGATCCATTCCAATTCTTCAATAAAGAAGCAGTATTACCTAAAGGAATAAAAATCTCACAAATCACGCGATCTCCTGAGCAATAACGCGATCTCCAGCCACCGATAAACTCACGTCCGATTCCCAAACCGAAACTGTAGGAATAGAGACTTCATGAATTCCAACAGCCTTCAATGCACCTGATTCACCAGCCCCTAGATCCTTCAGAATAACGTGATTTCCAGATACCGAAATGCTAGCATCCGATTCCCAGACTGAAACTGAACCCGAATCACCCTTAGTTTCATCCTCTGAAGCTTCCTCTTCATAATACTCCACCGCATCCATTGGAATACTATCTTCATTTCCTTTTCGCCTTGATTTCCTTTCAACATAAACCTTCCCGTCAGATTTCCATTCCGACTTGCTAATACCAGTAGCAACAGCTCCCGATGCACTTGGCTTCCTTCTAGCTCTGTAAATGGTAGCTGAAGATTGCTCTACCACCCCAGGCGGAACAACCTCACTCAAATCAACTTCCGTCCTCACATAACGGACAGCAGCACTCTTATCAGGAGGCTTCACTTTCACATCCTTCAATCGATCCTTCTTAGAAGAAGCACCCATCAGCACACCAGAAATGAGATGAGAAAATGCTTCTACGATGTAAAGAGGAACACCGGAGAAGCAACGCCGGTGAAACATGTTTATGAATACCGACTTGCTAATACCAGTAGCAACAGCTCCCGATGCACTTTGGGTACGTTGTTGAGGGGGTTGGTTAGCAAATCTCAAAAACATTTGGACATCAAAATTGCACATGCTGAGTTTACCTGTAATCCTTCTCTTACTTATGCTACAGGTCACTCTCCTTTAGAAGTGGTGTATGGTGTGAATCCTTACATGCCTTTGGATTTGATTCCATTGCCAAAGGATGAATTGGTTCACAAGGATGCTAATTGAGTCTAGTGAAGATGAGGAAATTGTGATGGAAGAGGAGGTTAATACTAAGATGAGTAAAGAGCCTAGTTTAAAGATGAAGTCTGGTACTGTTATTAATAGTATTAATATGCTTCCTTCTATTTTGGGTGATGCTAATAGTTGTAAAAAGGTGGATGGTGATAGTCAGGGGAACTTGTTGAACTCTTATGCAGGTGTGTTAAAAGGTAATAGACATAAGGGTAAGATTGATGTCAAGTTTATTCCAGGGGAAAAAGGCAAAGAAGAAGGACCTGTTATTATCCCGATTGAGAATTTAAAGAAAGCGAGTATTCCATATACTTATACTTTATATGGATATATGATTGATAAGAAGTTAGCGTTTCCTGTGATTCAGCAAGAGGTTAGAAGGCTATGGAAGAATGTGGGTCTTGAAGAGATATTCATGAACAGTAAAGGGTTTTTCTTTTTTAAATTTAGTGATGAGCAGGGGATGTTATCTATATTGGAGGGAAGCCCATGGTTGATGTTCAATAATATGCCATTATTTCTTCAAAGGTGGAGACCAGGTCTGAAATTAACCAAGAATAGTCATGATAAAATTCCGGTGTGGATCAAAATCTTTGATTTACCTTTGGAAGTATGGAGTGGAGAGAATTTGTGTATTATAGCGAGTAAGTTGGGGGTGCCTCTGGCTTTTGATTCTTTTACTGAGGAGATGTGTTTGGAACACAAGGGTAGAAACGCTTATGCTCGAATTCTTGTTGAAATGGCGGCTGATAAGGAATGGATGAGGAAAATTGAGGTTTCTACTTGGGATTTTGTTACTAATTCTGCTGTGGTTCAGAGTTTTGATGTGGAGTATGCTTGGATGCCTTCTAGATGTAATCACTGTAAGGTTTATGGGCATACGGATAAAGTTTGTTTGGCAACTTTGAATGAAGAGAAAGTGGTAAAGAATGGGGATAATGGGAACAATAAGAGAAATAAAGGGAAGGAAATGGTTAATGATGATGGATTTACGGAGGTTGTTTATAAGAAGGTTGCAGGAAATAATGATGGTGAAGGTACTAGTAAATCTAAGGAGGGTCATGCTCAATTGTATAATCAAAGATATAGTGGGAAGAATGGAAATTTTAACAGGGGAAATAATTTCAGAGGCAATTATGGGAATAGAGGTGGTAATGGAAGGGGACAGAATGGGAATTGGAATAATAAAGGGGTGGGTCATTGGAATTTGGAAAAGAATAGAAGATATGAGAAGTTTGTTAATGGTCAGGCTTTGGTTGGTAATCAGGGGAAAATGGAGAATAAGATGCAGGGGAATGCTATAAAGGATGAACATAAAAGTGGGTGTTAACAAGAGTCTAGAAAATAAGACTGTTTTTAGTGATGGTTGCAGTATTAAAAATAGTTTTGAAATCCTGGGAAGGATTGATGAGGAAGTTATGGATAGAATGGAAGAGGATGCTAAGGGAGGCAAAGTTGATGGTTATCAGGAAGGTGATTGTGTTGATTATTCTTCTGATGTTGTTGGAATAATGAATAATAAGTTGGATCCTTCAAAGTTTGTTGGGAAGGGTAATGTAGGGAATGAAAGTAATAAAATGAAGAATAGTATGATGGTTCAGGGGAATAGTAAAAGCAAAGATGGGATTTCTCAGGCATTTGAGGAGGTAAATGCCAAAAACTCTATTATTTCCCAATGATGTCTATAGGGGTATGGAATGTCAGGGGCTTGAATAAAGCTATTAAGCAGAAGGAGGTTATTGATGTTATTAGGAGTAATAACCTTGGTATATGTGCTGTGGTGGAGTCTCATGTCAAGGTCTTAAATCTTAAGAATGTTTGTGTTAAGACCTTTGGTCAATGGGATTGGGTTTCTAATAATAGTAGTTGTGAGGCTGGAACTAGAATAATTGTTGGATGGAATCCAAGACTTTTTGAAGTGATGGTGATTTCTCACTCTAGACAAGTTATTCAATGTTATGTTAGATTCTGTGATTCCAATTATAGCATGTATTTGTCTTTTATATATGCTGCTTCGAATTATCTTGAGAGAAGGTTATTATGGGATAATTTGAAGAAACATAGTTTGGTTGTTAAGAAGGAAGCATGGGGAATATTAGGTGATTTTAATGTTGCTTTAAAACCATCGGAATATTCTGAAGGTTGTTCCAAAACGCCTAAAGGAGTTGATGATTTTATTGACTGTATAAACTTTATTGAAGTTGAGGATCTGAATTCCTCTGGGTTTCAGTTTACTTGGAATAAAACTCATGCTGGGAATAAGGGCCTTTTGAAGAAGTTAGATAGGGTGATGGCCAATTTGAAATTTGTTTCGGATCATCCTTTAGCTCATGCTATTTTTAAACCTTATAGGGTGTCGGATCATTGTCCTGTTATTTTAAATGTTCCTGTTGGCAAATTGAGATGGAAACCTTCTTTTAGGTTTGCTAATTTTATCACTGAAAAGGTGGAGTTCTTACCCCTGGTTAAGGAAGTTTGGGATGCTAATATTGAAGGTTTTTTTATGTTCAAAGTGTGCCAAAAGTTGAAGATTCTTAAAAAGCATTGTAGGGAGCTTTGCAATAAGCACAGGGGTTCTGGGAAGAGAATCCAAATGTTAAGAAAGGAGTTGGAAAGTAAACAATTTGAAATTGATCTTAATCCTTTTGATTGTAAGATTAGGGAGGAGCATACTAATATTCTTTTTGATTTTAATGTTGCTTGTAATGATGAAGAAAAGCTTCTTTTCCAGAGATCTAAGATAAATTGGTTACAGGAAGGGGACAATAATACAAAGTTTTTTCATAGAGTTGTGAAGAGCAGGGGCAATAGAAATCGTATTCTGATGGTTATTGATGAAGATGGAAGATGGGTTAGTGGGAAGGCTATGAAGGATAAATTTGTTACTCATTTCAATAAGTTTTTGGGTTGTAAAGATGTTACTGAGTTTTCGTGTTTAAATGATGGTTTCTTTCATAATAAATTGGATAGTAGGGTGGCTGCTAATATGATTAGAGTGGTGACTGATGAAGAAATCAAAGTGGCGATGTTTGATATTGATGAAAATCGTGCCCCTGGACCTGATGGGTACTCCTCCAAATTTTTTAAAAGTTCTTGGAACATTGTTGGGCCGGAGGTGTGTAAAGCTGTGAGGGAATTTTTTTGGACTGGTAAATTGTTGAAGGGGATTAATGCTACGAGAATAGTGCTGGTTCCTAAAGTGAAGTTCCCGAGGAAAGTTTCTGATTTCCGTCCTATAGCCTGCTGTAACACTTTATATAAGTGTATTAGTAAGATTATAGTGAACAGAATTAGAAATAGTTTGGGTGATATTGTGAGCAAAAATCAATCAGCTTTCATTCCTGGAAGATCTATTGTGGATAATATTCTCCTTGCTCAGGAGCTGATGGTGGGGTATAAAAATAAGAGGGGAGTTCCCAAATGCACCATAAAGATTGATATTCAAAAGGCATATGATACGGTGGATTGGAATTTTCTTAGTAGAATTCTGCAGGGGTTTGGTTTTCATACGATAATGATTCAGTGGATTATGGCTTGTCTTTCTACTCCTTGGTTCATGCTTAACTTTAATGGTGAAGATCATGGGTATTTTGAAGGAAAGAGGGGTCTTAGGCAGGGTGATCCTCTATCTCCTTACCTATTTACTATAGTTATGGAGGTGTTTAATATCATCCTTTTGAAGAAAATTGAAGCTGGCCAGAATTTTAAGTTTCATAGTAAGTGTATGTCCCTTAAAATTACTCATTTATGCTTTGCTGATGATTTGTTAGTATTTTCTTATGGAAATGGGAATTCTGCTAGAGTTATAAGGGATGCTCTTGATGAGTTCAAAAAAGTTTCAGGGTTGAAGGTGAGCATGGAAAAAAACCAGATTTTCTTTAGTTGTGTTAAACCCAATATGAGAAGGATTATCTTGGGCATTCTTCCTTTTGATATTGGGAGATTTCCTTTTAAGTATTTGGGAATTCCTATGTGTGTTACAAAATTATTTGATAGAGATTGTAAACAGCTTATTGAGAAGATTAAGATGAGAATTTTCAATTGGAAAAGCAAGGCTTTATCGTTTGCTGGAAGGCTGCAGCTCATTAATTCTGTTTTGACATCTATTCATGTGTATTGGGCTTCGATTTTTAAAATTCCCATTGCTACTATTAAAGAGATTGAAAAGCTTTGTAAAAGTTTCTTGTGGGCGAATGGTGAGGTAGTCAAAGGGAAAGCTAAAGTCAAGTGGAATGATATTTGTAAGCCGAAAATTTATGGTGGTTTAGGAGTGAAGAATTTAAGGAAATGGAATGATGCTTTGTTAGCTAAACATGTGTGGAATGTGACTAATAGCAAAAATTCTCTGTGCGTTCAGTGGGTGAAATCTAATTACATTGGAAACAGGAATTTTTGGGATATTTTGCAGAAGAAGAGTATGAGCTGGACTTGGAAGAGGTTCCTTGAGGTGAGAAAAATTGTTAGGCCCCATGTTGTTTCGTGTGTGGGAAACGGGATGAATACTTCTCTCTGGCATGATTGGTGGCACCCAATTGGTATTTTATGTTCTATTATATCTAGAAGAGATTGGGTTAGCAATGGGTTTAGTGATTCTTCCTTGGTCAGTGATGTTCTAGTCTATGATTGCTATACTTGGCCGGTTGAGTGGGTTAATATATTCCCTGGATTGAAGGATGCTCCCATGTTTTGTATTGAGCCTAATCTGAGGGATGTTGCAGGTTGGAGAGATAAGAAAGGAATATGTAAACAATTTTCATGCAAACAGGTGTGGTGTGATATAAATAATTTTGAAGACCAAGTTCCTTGGCATGATATTGTTTGGTATGGTAATTGCATTCCTCGAAATTCGTTTATTTTGTGGATGGCTATTTTGAATAGATTGAAGACTCAGGATTGTGTCAGAGGTTGGGAAGTTTCTGGTAACTTACTTTGTCCTTTTTGTGCTGTTACTCCTGATTCACATGTTCATCTCTTCTTTAAATGTGATTATTCTCAACTTATATGGAGGTATTTTTGTAATAAGATGGGTCTTAATCTTTTTATGGATGATTGGAATGAATTGATTATGAAGCTGTGCAGTTTGTTTAAAAGGAATTCTGGTGAGAATCTGGTTAATAAATGTGTTTTTGCTAGTTGTGTTGCACATATTTGGAAGGAGAGAAATTCTAGACTATTTAGTAACAGGAGAAATTCGTATAAGGGGCTGATTGCTTGTATTGAAAGTGAAATACATTTAATGCTGTTGGGGTTGAGGAAAAAGGCTAAGATGGTCAATGATAAAGTTTTTAAGGCATGGGGTATTTCTGGAATGGAAAAAGTTTAAGTAATGGATGCTATTTTCTGGTTTTTTAGTTTGTTGGTTGCTGGCTATTGGTTTTGGGGTTGGCATAGAAGGATGTCTAACTTTGGTGATCTTAATGCTGTGGATTGGTGGGGGCATTTTTGGAATAAGTTTCTTTACAAAGGAATTGACGGATTGTGTTACTGGTTTGAGAGTTTGCTCTCAAATCATGTGACTTGTACCTATGGGATTTTCTGTTTGGATATGATCTTTATTGAGATTATCCAAATGGAGAATCCTAGACATGTGATTGATGCCATGTCTAGTATGAAACTTGTTCTGATTTCTTGGAGTTTTGGTGTTAGTTTGTTGTGGTTTGGCTTGTGCTTGATATGCAGGAATTTTTTGCAAAGGTCGGGTTTGGATCATGTTTGCAAGCAGATGGAGTCTTTTCTGTTGAAGACTAAGTGGAGGATTGATGAGAGGAGAAGTGACAGAAGATGCGGGATTGATAAATTGATGGGGTTTTTTTATAGTTGCAATTATGAGTGTTATAATTGTGTTATCTTTTATTGGTTCTATGTTATGTATTGTGTAGGGAGTATTGTGGTTTTGTTGGGTTTTTTCTTAAAGCTTGGCCTTCAGACTGTGGGTTTTTTTAAGGGCCTTACCCCTTGCTTAGGTATTAATGATCTTTGGGGATTTTGGTGGTGCAAGGGGGTGAAGTTACCTTTTTTCCCACTTTCAATAAGTCTTTGGGCTAGCTTTAAGGATAATAAGGTTTTTTGGGTTTTTGGGTGGTTAAGTCTGGTTATTAAAAAGTGGCTTGGTAGTTGGTTATGGATAGGTTGGTTAGATTTGTATTTTGTTTGACTATTTTATTTCCGTTTGTTTTTGTATTCTTTTATTCTTTTTAATAAAGTTTGCTGAGCTTTGGCTCTTTCAAAAAAAAAAAGGATGCTAATGACAAGTTGAAGGCCATGATGAAACTACACCAACAAGTTCGTGTGAAAATTGAAGCCGTGAATGAGGTGTACAAACGGAATTCCAACATGCATAGGAAACCATGTGTCCTTCTAGATGGTGACTTGGTGTAGGTGTATCTGAGGAAAGAACGTTTTCCTAACAAAAGGAAGAACAAAAGTAGATGCCAAGAGTAGAAGGTCTTTACAATGTGGTGTCACATGTCAACGATAATGCTTATAAGGTGGATTAGGGAGGAGACCATGGAGTGTGTGCTACCTTGAATGTGGGAGACCTTTCACCTTATCTTGTTGAGGATGGCCTAGGTGAATTGAGGTCATTTCCTTTCAAAAAAAAAAAGGGGGGGGGGGGATGATCCATGCATGGATCATGAAAGCCCAAGGTGATGGATTAGTGATTACTAGTAGGCTAGAAGGTGGTTTCGGATTAATGGTTGGGTTGTGCATGTTAACCTATGAATTGAATTAGGGTCGCATGAAGGCTAGGGCAACATTTTAAAGGCTTCATAAGTGCTCAAAACCATTACTTATTGCTTCAAAAAGCCTCCTAGCCATTTTTGATACTCTTTGGTGGATTAGGGTTACACTTTAATGCTTCTTATGGCTCCTTAATGGAGCATGGACGCTTTTTCATTCATTAGTGTGCCAGGCGTTTTTTGTGTGGTTTCATGAGCTTCTTTAATTTCCATTATTAGTTTTACTGAGTAGTTGGTTGGGTGGCTTGTAACCACCAACTTTTTAATATAGGCCAAGTTTATGCATGGAAAAAAGCGATAGATGAAATTTTAATCAAATGAACATTTGTTCACATTGAATTATAGTTATAGTTCACAACTTGTCATAGTCGAGACGTGTTCTTGACTTGATACGCATTCAATAAAATATGTCTTCGATTGTTTTCAATGGTATACAACTTAGTAGGTCTTGATTTGTTACTAATCAATCCCTTTCTTCCCATACACGTATCATTTGTGGTTGTTATTCTTGCTTAATTTACCTAAACACAACCCTACTCACTTAATCAAGCCCATAAAGGCATCAAAAGGCAATCACCTTTGTGTCCCTAAACATGCCAAACGGGGTTGTTGCTTCATGAAGTTCATGGCGGTGGTTTGGCGGGTTATTTTTCCATTACCAAAAGTTTGGAGGTGCTTTAAGAACATTTCTTTTGGCCTAAGATGTTGGGGATGTAACCAACATTGTGGGCAAGTGTGTTACATGTCAGATGACGAAAAAAACTTTCAAGCATGGTGTTTACACTCCTTTGCCGATTCCTATTCGTCCTTGGGAAGATGTGTCAATGGAATTCATTATGGCTTTGCCTAGAACTCAAAGGGGGAAGGATTCCATCATAGTGGTGGTGGATTGGTTTTCAAAAATTGCTCACTTTGTGCCATGTCATAAAACCAATGATGCATCTAATGTGTCTGATTTGTACTTTAAAGTGGTGGTTCGCTTGCATATTATTCCTAAAACTATTGTTTCCGATAGGGATTCCATGTTTTTGAGTTACTTTTGGAACACTTTGTGGAGGAAAGTTGGTACAAAGTTACTTTTTAGTACATCCCATCATCCACAAACTGATGGGCAAACGAAGGTGACTAATAGAACTTTGGGTACGTTGTTGAGGGGGTTGGTTTGCAAAACTCAAAAACATTTGGACATCAAACTTGCACATGCTGAGTTTGACTGTAATCGTTCTCCTACATATGCTACAGGTCACTCTCCTTTAGAAGTGGTGTATGGTGTGAATCCTTACGTGCCTTTGGATTTGATTCCATTGCCAAAGGATGAATTGGTTCAAAAGGATGCTAATGACAAGTTGAAGGCCATGATGAAACTACACCAACAAGTTCGTGTGAAGATTGAAGCCGTGAATTAGGTGTGCAAACGAAATTCCAACATGCATAGGAAACCACGTGTCCTTCTAGATGGTGACTTGGTGTAGGTGCATCTGAGGAAAAAATGTTTTCCTAACAAAAGGAAAAACAAAAGTGGATGCCAAGAGTAGAAGGTCTTTACAATGTGGTGTCACTTGTCAACGATAATGCTTATAAGGTTGATTAGGTAGGAGACCATGGAGTGCGTGCTACCTTGAATGTGGGAGACCTTTCACCTTATCTTGTTGAGGATGGCCTTGATGAGTTGAGGTCATTTCCTTTCAAAGGGGGAGGGGATGATCCATGCATGGATCATGAAAGCCCAAGGTGATGGATTAGTGATTACTAGTAGGCTAGAATGTGGTTTGGGATCAATGGTTGGGTTGTGCATGTTAACCTACGAATTGAATTAGGGTCGCATGAAGGCTAGGACAACATTTTAAAGGCTTCATAAGTGCTCAAAACTGTTACTTATTGCTTCAAAAAGCCTCCTAGCCATTTTTGATACTCTTTGGTGGATTAGGGTTACACTTTAATGTTTCTTATGGCTCCTTAATGGAGCATGGATGCTTTTTCATTCATTAGTGTGTCAGACGTTTTTTGTGTGGTTTCATGAGCTTCTTTAATTTCCATTATTAGTTTTACTGAGTAGTTGGTTGGGTGGCTTGTAACCACCAACTGTTTAGTATAGGCCAAGTTGATGCCAAGAGTAGAAGGTCTTTACAATGTGGTGTCACATGTCAACGATAACGCTTATAAGGTGGATTAGGGAGGAGACCATGGAGTGCGTGCTACCTTGAATGTGGGAGACCTTTCACCTTATCTTGTTGAGGATGGCCTTGGTGAATTGAGGTCATTTCCTTTCAAAAGGGGGGGGGGGGATGATCCATGCATGGATCATGAAAAAGGTGATGGATTAGTGATTACTAGTAGGCTAGAAGGTGGTTTCGGATCAATGGTTGGGTTGTGCATGTTAACCTACGAATTGAATTAGGGTCGCATGAAGGCTAGGGCAACATTTTATAGGCTTCATAAGTGCTCAAAACCATTCTTATTGCTTCAAAAAGCCTCCTAGCCATTTTTGATACTCTTTGGTGGATTAGGGTTACACTTTAATGCTTCTTATGGCTCCTTAATGGAGCATGGACGCTTTTTCATTCATTAGTGTGTCAGACGTTTTTTGTGTGGTTTCATGAGCTTCTTTAATTTCCATTATTAGTTTTACTGAGTAGTTGGTTGGGTGGCTGGTAACCACCAACTTTTTAATATAGGCCAAGTTTATGCATGGAAAAAAGAGAGAGATGAAATTTTAATCAAATGAACATTTGTTCACTTTGAATTATAGTTATAGTTGAAAAGATATGTTTGCACTTTCTCTCTCTACTCGTTCTCTCTGTTTGACGCAATGTTCTCGGAGTGAATTCGTCGGTATTTCTTCATCGTTGAGCTGATTATTCTCAGTGTTGAAGAAATTTATCCTCTATTCCCGTAGTCACAATGGGAGCATCATCTAAACCGGATCGATTGAAGGATGTGAAGGTGAAACCTCCGGACAAAAATGTTGCGGTCTGGTATAGTAGATCGGAAGTCGATGTGAATGAAATGGTACCTCCGGGTGTTATTGAGAAGACTTCAGCTGCTCTTTATAGAGCTCGTCGTAAACCAAGTGCAACTGGAGCTGTTGCTACTGGGATTGGGAAGGCTGGATGGAAGATGGAGGGTAAAGCTTTTAGAGTTAAGAATCGAGTAAGGAAAGCTATGGGTCGAGCTTCTCCAATAGATGCGGAAGGTATGTTGAGAACTTTGTGACTGAAGATGATACGGAGCAGGAATCAGGGAGTGAGGGGATATGGGAATCAGATTCGAGTAGCCATCTGATTGTTAATAAGGATGCTTACAATAAGGTGGATACGAAGGTTGAAGGCACTCAAAGTTTAGCTGGGGAGAAGCATTCTATCTGTCCTGAGATTCAAATACCTACAGGTAATACTGCTTCATTGTCTAAAAATTGGGAGAATCCTAAAATTAGGGATGAATTGTTAAGCCCTAATACTGAAATGAAAGTCATCACTAATCAAATGAAGATTGTTAATCCGAAGGTGGGATTTATTTTTCTTAATGATATTAAGAAGAATCAAATAGAGATGGATAAAAAATTGAAGCCTAATGAATCTGAGGTGAATAATGATGGAGATTTCAAACTTGATCCTAGTGTTTATTGGGATGAGAATGGAAATTTGATTAATATGAAGGAGGGAATCACTGAATCGAAAAATGAGATGGTTGATGGAGATGTTAGTGTTTCACAAGCGAAGGGTTGAATACTGTGGGAACTGGTATTAACAGCATTAACAGGGAACCTTCTGTACCGGGGCCTGTTGGGAAAGGAAGTGGGAAACCTGAAATTGATAATAATGGGAAAGGAAAATTTGAAATGTCTTATGCAGGAGCTTTGAGGGGCTCTATGCATATAGGAAAGTTAGAGGTGAAGTACATTCCAACTGGAGATGGGAGAGAAGATGGACCAGCTGTTATTCCTATTGAGAATCTAAAAAAGCGAGTATACCTTATGCCAACACCTTGTATGGGTATATGATAGATAAGAAAGTTGCTTTTCCTGCTATCCAAAAAGAAGTTAAAAGGTTATGGAAGAATATGGGGCTAGAGGATATGTTTCTGAATAGTAAGGGGTTCATTTTCTTTAAATTTTCTAGTGAACAGGGGATGCAAGCAGCTTAGATAGAAGTCCTTGGTTAATTTTCAACAACATACCTTTATTTTTGCAAAGGTGGAGACGTG